CTTTAATACAGTTCCTCATGTTGTGGTGACCCCCAATTTCATTGTTACAAATTGAACATAATTAAAGCATAGTGATTAATCACAAAAACAATATGTAATTATATGTGTTTTCTGACGGTCTTAGGCAACCCCTGTGAAAGGGTCATTTGACCCCCAAAGGGGTCTCGACCCACAGGTTGAGAACCGCTGGTCATTGATCATTATACCCCTCATTGTGGCTAATGATAATTCTTCATCAAAGGGATTCAGACCCGCCTGCTGTTGCGTCTGTGCTGACATGGGAGGGGCAGGGGCTGTGCTGTGCACATGAGGCCCCAGAAAGGCCATCGTGTTGATCGTGGTGGATCCCGACTTTGCCCTTCCCTTCAGAATGCAGGGAAGCATCTCCCCAGCGGCCACACTGACCCACTAGGACCCATGGTCACTTAGCATCAGCTGGTGCTGAAACTCCAGGGGTGAACCTCTTCTTGGAGCTGCTGGCAGCAAGGCCAGGCAGAGGCCCTGCCATCTCTCTCTTTAGCTTGCTCGTGTCATGGGGTAAAGAGTTGATCTGAACAACTTCCCCCCATTATTTTGTTTGCTTCCCTTTCTTCCCTCCCTCCATTTGTTGTTCCTTTCCCTGCAATGTAGTTAAAGCAAAGAGAGCATTGGCTTTAGAATTAAATGGACCAGGATTCTAGGGGGTTCTGTTCCAATTGTTTGATCTTAGGTGAGCAGTTTCCCATTGCTCAGCTCAATACCCTCGTTTGTAAAATAGGCTAAAGAGTGCCCAGCAAATGGCTAGGTTGGGGAGTGAAAGAGGTAGCAGGTATAAAATGCCAGAGCGGAGAACATGCTTGGGAAATACTCATCTTCTCCAAGAGTCACCTTTGTGAGGACTTGTGCAGAGGCTGCCCCCTCTCCTCTCTGTCCCGGGGGACTGAGTCCTGACAGCTGGGCAACAGGCTCCACCCTCCTTGCTTCTCCCAGGACCTGGAGGTAAGTGTCCCGGGAAGCACAGCTACCACCCAGGACAAGCAGCCAAGTGCACCTGGGAATCTGTGTGACACAGGTAGCACCACACACCCACTTGCCCCTTATGTTCCAGGTGAATTTTTCTTGCCTTTCACTGAGATTCCAAGCCCTCTTCAAGATGTGTGCCACCTATCCCAGGAGCCCACACCTTAGAATCACTGTGCCAAGGTCCTTCCTTTATCCAATTAACACTAGACAGACAGTATCATACTCACAGAACCTACAGAAATGCATGAGGGGAAAAATATTCTCAAGTTAAAAAACCACAAAACTTCAAAATCAAAATCATAATCATGAGTGCTTTATGGAATGGCTAAAACTGCAACATAATTTACATCACCTCAACTCAACTAGGTTGGGTACACTTGAAACTGACTATGGAGTGGGGTGTCTACAGTGAGCGTGCCCTCATCCTACAAAACTCTTTTTAAAAGACTTGCTTTCTGTTCTGGCTCTTGTTGCCTTTTCTATCCCAGTTTTGCCTCTCTAACCTCAGATTTAAAAGTCGGTCTATCCACCAGTTTCTGTAAGATACCCCATGATACCATCGAGCACCTTGACGGGACTGAGTTGGTTGGACAGGGAGACTGGCCACGCCCTACAGTGCCCAGCATTAACCTTCTCGCCTGCTCTCAGCTCTTTGATCCACGCCTGGCCCTCTCCCTTCAGAATCCTGCCACAGCTTCCCTCCCTCTAGGAATTCCAAATTCTCTCTCCTTTCTCGGGCAAAGACCCTTCCATCTTTTTCTGAAGCAGATAGCCAGGCTCTGGAGGGTTCAGCTTTATCCCATGGTTCTCATCTGGCACCTTCCCACAATCCAGGTCACCTCTTAAGAGGAACTTTCCTACACTTCCTAAGATGTTTAATTTTAATCACCCTAGTATTCTGAAGAGAGCAGAGTCGAGGGTGTCGTGGGTCCACACCACGACTGTGCTCTTTGTCCTTCTTCTGCTGCTTCTACTGTGACTTCTGTTTCTTACCAAGAAAAATAAAACAATCTCTTCCCAATGCCACCAGCACCAGCCTTTGGCTAACACAGCCGACTGCATGTTTGTTTGTCCTCACTAGCTGCAGTTTTCTCAAAACAATACAGTAGCCAGTATATGGCCTTTCACATCCTAAAATGTTCGAGCTGGGTAAGAATTCAAAGAAGCTCTGGTCTAGGGCCAAATAGGTTAGTTGACTAGTTCAAGGTCACAGGTAGATTCATAATACTTCATGCACTTAACAAATGGAGATTGAAGACCTACTGTGTGCTTGGCACTAGCTATGTTCCAGAAATAAAAGAATGAAGAGGGTGTATTCCCTGCCCTTAGGATGTGGGCTGTACCAACACCATGTATGTACCATGAACCTGACCTTGGATCTCCCAGCCCTCCTTCCTTGAATATGCTCTAGGTTAATTTTAATCTCAAAGGCACTTCCAAAGAGATTTGGTCTTCTGAATATTCTTTTTAATCCTATCTAATAAAAGACAAAAAGGGTAATTGACCATACCTTCGCTACGCTTCCCATTGGCTAATCAGCGAGATATGCAAATTAACCACCACACAGCTGAAGCGAGCAGGTTTGCTTGCTCCAGTGATGGAGGAAACCAAGGTTCCCCGCCTGCCGCAGCCCAGCTCTAAGCTCCGAAAGCAACAAAGTTTCAATTATAGAAGCTAAACCCCAGATACCTGTTTTCAGCCGGCCGTGGCCACAGAGCCAGCTCTCAGTTCCAGTGACGGAAAAGTTTCAATTATAGAAGGTAAATAAATCCCAGAATAAAAAAAAGAAAAAAGAAAAAAAGGAGAGGCTGGGCGCTTCAGTTGCCAGCCAGCCTGAAAACGGCCCTCAGCCCCTTACCCAGGCTGGCCAGGCACCCAAGCGGGACCCCCACCCTGATCTGGGACACCCTTCAGGGCAAACCAGCCGGCCCCCACCCGTGCACCAGGCCTCTATCCTATATAATAAAAGGGTAATATGCACACTGACCCTAACAGCAGAAAGACTGGGAATGACTGGTCACTATGACACACACTGACCACCACAGGGGGCAGACGCTCAATGCAGGAGCTGCCCTCTGGTGGTCAGTGCGTTCCCACATGGGGGAGCTCTGCTCAGCCACAAGCCAGGCTGATGGCTGCCAGTACAGCGGTGGTGGTGGGAGCCTCTCCTACCTCCTCAGCAGCGCTAAGGATGTCCGACTGCAGCTTAGGTCTGCTCCCCACTGGCAAGTGGAAATCCCCCGAGGGCTGCCGGGCTGCCAGAGGGATGTCTGATTGCCAGCTTAGGCCCAATCCCCTGGGGAGCAGGCCTAAGCCAGCAGGTGGTCATCCCCCGAGGGGTCCCAGATTGTGAGAGGGCACAGGCCGGGCTGAGGGGACCCCCCCCCCCTGCCGAGTGCACAAATTTTTGTGCACCAGGCCTCTAGTAAAATAATAAAAACACATCGCTTTTGACACTGTTTATAATTACTTTAATACTCATTAGAGATTGAAACTTCCTCAGGCACATTTGTAGATAGGCCAAGCAAATTTCTACCCTCTTGACTTTAAATGATGAACAGAGGAAGGTCAGGGTCACAGAACTGTTTGGAAGCCAATCTCTGACATCAGCACTCTTCCCCCCGCAGGGAAAGCCAGGCTTCACACAGTGTCCTTCACCCAGTGTCCTTCATGCAGTGTCCTTCACCCAGTGTCCTTCACCCAGTGCCCTTCACGCAGTGTCCTTCACCCAGTGTCCTTCACGCAGTGTCCTTCACGCAGTGTCCTTCACCCAGTGTCCTTCGCCCAGTGTCCTTCACGCAGTGTCCTTCACCCAGTGCCCTTCGCCCAGTGTCCTTCACCCAGTGTCCTTCACCCAGTGTCCTTCACGCAGTGTCCTTCACGCAGTGTCCTTCACCCAGTGTCCTTCACCCAGTGTGTTTCAGCTAGTGTTGCCCTAGGGATCTCAGGCAGGGGAAGGAGAAAGGGAGGTGTGGAAGTGAGGGTAGCATCAGGGGTCTCTTCTGAAGCCAGTTACTGCTGTGGGCAGCCAGCGCTCATCCTTCTGAGGAGCGAGGGTAGAATATTCCCTCTGCAGCTCTGGAAGCCAGCCTGTGAATCCACCACCTCCATCCCTGGTTGAGTGCTACTTACAGGGTCCTTGACACCGTAGGACTGTGAACTTGCCCTGCGTGCAGGCAGAACACCCACCCATGCCCATGAGAAAGGGCCTCTGCATAGATAGTAGAGTTTCAGGTACAGTAAACACCCTTCAGAGTAGAGAGGTCAGGGCCCAGGGATGCAGGCAGGGCATGTGCAGCCTGTGTCATACCCTACTTTTTTCAAAGCCACATGCACAGGAGCGGCCGCAGCTGAGCATGGAAACACCAATGCCGCACAGCTCCGTGTCTGCCTCTCCTGGGCTGTGTTTGATGTGGGTGGGGGCATGTCCATGGTCCTGAATCACCAGGCCCTGCTTTAGCGGGCTTCTTCCTTTGACCATGGTGCAGAGTTAATGCCTGTTTACCCTGTCCCAGAATTCACATTCCTGGTTTGCATTTGTTCTCTTCTGATTAACATTTTGCAGTTTTGTGTTATCTTGGCCACAAAGGAACCACACCATCCATTTCACAATTTTGATTTGCATAGCAGATGTGGGATACTGTTAAGAGTCCCAACACTTTCTTCACAGATATTTTATCCTCCTTGGGGAATATAGAGAGGGTGCTCTCTGCAGATCTTTGATAACGCCTCTTCCTCCCAAGCTTTTGCTATGTGTGGGCACCCCCACACCACAGCCCCAAGCACAGAGGCAATGCAGGAAGCCCAATGAATCCTCCTTCCATACCCCTCATGCCTTTTAGTTAATGTAGAAAAAGCTGTGGTTTGTTTTTGCAGCATCACAGTTTATCGACGTGGGGTCCTCTGGGGTTTACAGACACTAAATTATCTGTGCTCACCAGATGATTCACACTGACAATGACAGGAAGGAGGGGAGCAGAGGAGCCTACATACAATTGCACAGGACTCTCTCTTCCTCCTCCCTGCTTGCTTTCTCTCATAGGGCTCAATGCTTTCATCACACCAGAAAAGTTACTTCTGGTATAACTTACGGTGTTCCTCCCCAACCAAGGAGAGTATAAGTTCCCAAAGGGCAGGGTTTGAGGCTTCTTTTTTAAGTTGTGTCCACTGCTCTGTTGGTAGCTGGCATATAGTGAGCGCTATGTAGATGCTTATTGAATAAATGAAAGCTTCTGTGCAATTCACAGAGTCCTTTCAGATCTAATGCAGGCAGAGGGTTAGGAGGGAGGGAAGGGAGGGAGGGAGGGAGGGAGGAAATAAGGAGTTTGATACTATTTTCTGGACACTTTTCATAAATGTTGTTTCATTGTATCTTCTCATCACCAGGAAGGGCAGGAACAATTGTTTTCTCTCTGTAGATGGGATATTGGGGTTTGCCTCTCAGAATAGCTAATAAGGGCTCTGCTGAGCATATAGGGCCAACTTCCCATTAAAAACAATAACCATCTTGTAGTGACACAACATTGGTTTTGAAGGGCAGTTTCACTAACTGTGAGAACTTAGTTAGGTCTCTTCCCTCTCTGAGTCTCTGTTTCCAAATAGGAAGTGTCAGACTAGGAGCAGTGCTTAAGAACACAGGAGATTACACATCAGAGCGGTCGGCACGTAGTAACCTCAGCTCAGACCCTGTCACTCCGCCCTCCCCCCTTCAGATCAGACCTTCCGACCTCCAAATCCCAGAGCCTCGGTGCTCCCCGCCCTGCTGTCAACACTGTTCAGTAATACCCCAGAGGAGGAGAGTGTGATTGAGAAACCCAAGTGCTGGGTCCATCTCTAATTGTCCTGGGGAGGCTTGGGGCAGGCTGTGCTGATAATATACGACCTGGCAGGGAGATGCTGGACTCCCCAGTTTCACTTTTATTTGCAACGTCTCCATCCGGCCAGCTTCCGGGTGGCCGTCAGCACGGCGGGCAGAGCTGGCACGGGCTGCGGGGGGTGTGCTGCTCTCCCGCCGGCTCTGGCAGGACATCAGGAACATTGGGGACAGAGAGAGTCAGACCTTCAGCTCCCACGATGCTGTCACTACCAGGCACAAGGGGAGCGGGATGAACAGGGCGCAGGGCCCGGTGCGGAGCCGCAGCTCGAGGTCACGTGGCACACTGGGTCAAAGCCCTCAGTAGACTCGGCAGGAGCTTACTCTGCCAGTTATTAGGAGGCAAAGCCTTCCAACCCTGGGCTCAGAGGTCCACCTGGCAAAGCAAAGCAGGGGGAGGTCTCTTTCCTGTGCAGAAAAAAGGTCCAGGAGTGGCAGTCAGGAGCCTTGAATCTCAATTCACGGTGGACACGGATAAGTCACCCCCCAAGCTGGGCTCCTTCTGAGCGGCTCTCTCCATCTCCCAAGGTTCCCGGTTGTAAGTGTAAGGGTCTGGCATTACACGTGGAAGACCCTCTGGTTCTTCAGGTTGGCATAAGTCCAGGCAGCCCATGAATTAGCTTGACTGTCAGACCCCCATCGGCTAACCCTGCCTGTCTGTTGTTTCCAGGCAACAACAGCCTCCTGACCTGCATGGAGGACGGGCTGTGGTCCTTCCCGGAAGCCCTGTGCGAGCTCATGTGTCTGGCTCCGCCCCCGGTGCCCAATGCAGACCTGCAGACCGCCAGGTGCCGAGAGAACAAGCACAAGGTGGGCTCTTTCTGCAAGTACAAGTGCAAGCCTGGATACCATGTGCCCGGTGCCTCTCGGAAGTCAAAGAAGTAAGTGGGGCAGGTTCTGGGGAGCAGCAGAGCTGAGTCTGCTGTCTGATTAGAAGCAAGGGTTCCTTTCTTTGCTGGAGGCAAAACCCCTTCTGCGTTAAGGGAATCTTGAAGGACATTGTGAATACCTGCCTACTGGCTGTGTGACTTCATGCAAGTGACTTCCCTTCTCTGGGCCTCTGTTTTTCAACAAGAAGATGAAGGCGATAATAAGAGTTCCCCATAGGATGGTGGGCAGAATAAATGAGGATGTGTATGTAAAGTGCTTGCCACATGCCTGGCACATAGTAATTGTTCAATAAACGGTGGGTTTAATGTCATCAGTGTCAGCACCAATCAGAGAGCCCGGGAAGGAAGGGAGAAGACGGGGACTAGTAAGGCTTGGATTTTCTTTTCCTTTTTTTAAACTAATTTTAATTTTAATTTTTTTTTAATCCTCACCAGAAGATATGCTTTTTTCATTGATTTGAGAGGGGGCGGGGTGAAGAGAGAGAAACATAGATCAGTTACCTCTCATATGTGCCCCAATGGGGATCAAACTCACAACCTAGGCATGTGCCCTGACTGGGAATTGAACCCATGACCTTTTGGTGCAAGGGACAATGTGCCAAGCAACTAAACCACCCAGCCGGGCTTGGATTTTATTTCAGTTCATATGTATCTGTGACAAAATCTGAAACTCCAGCTCATTCCTGTTAAAGGAGTTCTGTGGATGAATATTCCTTAATCCCTACACATGGCCCCTCTCAAGCCCACAGGACAGGTAGGGAACCAGGAGTGGAAACGTAGCTGGCCTCAGAGACACCTGGGAGTTTGGGTAGAGCATGGCTCTAGCGATTTGGTCCTTGAGATGCCTCTTCTTTTATCTCTTCCCTGAAGGCGCGCCTTCAAGACTCAGTGCACCCAAGACGGCAGCTGGCAGGAGGGAGCCTGTGTTCCTGTGACATGTGACCCGCCTCCACCGAAGTTCCACGGGCTCTACCAGTGCACAGACGGCTTCCAGTTCAACAGCGAGTGTCGGATCAGGTGTGAAGACAGCGATGCCACCCAGGTAAGACTCCTTGACCTTAAGATCAATACTCGGGTCCACCTCCTGTCTGCTTACTCAAGACCAGCCTGTAGTTCAAGAACCACTTCCTCCAGGGGACTCTCTCCAGATGCCAGGTGTATGCAGTAGCAGCATCACCAGTGCAGAGGTTAAGAAATTGGATTCGAATGCTCTCTGTAACCTCTCTGAGCCTTGTTTTCTTCCCTGCAATGCCATATTGTATTTGTTCTGAGATCCTTAGCTCTGAAAATACTTTAGTATTGGAACCCTGACGAAGGAAATCATATATGCAATCCCAGCGTATGAATTTGATCAAAGTGAAGTGACTCTAATAGGAGTGACCAAGGCTGTTTGGCCAACTGTCTGCCACCATCATCATGACATTGGTCCCTGAAGTATTTAAAGTCAGAAGACTCTTCAAGCATGAAGAGAAAGGGAACCATATTTAGCCTAAAGATGCAGTTTTGAGAAAACTTCAGAAAAAAGAAGAGAAGGAGATGGCAGGGATTGGATTTTATTTAGTCCACTTGTAATCGAGAGGAAGTCCAACAGCCTGCCGGCCTCTGCTGGAGTTCTGTGAATTAATTGCCCTTAATCCTTACACATACCTCCCCTACACCCCCCAGGAAGACAGGTAGGGAGTCAAGAATGGGAAAGAAATGAGAGGCCAAGCTAGCTCCAAAGAAGACCAAAGTCTATAAGGAATTCCACCTTCATAGACCCAACCTGTTAGGGCCGAACCCCAAGACCCGTGTCTCCCAGGCATGCAAGGGTATTCATCCAGGTGAGGCCAGTGTCCTGCCACCTGGGCCCAGTGCAGGTTCCACCTCCAGCCAGTCCTCACGAGTCTTTATTGTTGGCCACCAAATACCAGGCACTGCCAAACCATCATCCTCCCCTCCGCCAAGCCCTTACCAAGCCCAACCCATTCTCCCTCCAAGACATCCTAAGTCCTCCTCTATCTCCAGTGCCTCCACCCTAACGTAGGCCACCACCACCTCTTTCCTGGGCCACCAGGAAGCTCCTTGGTTACCTCCCTGCACCTGTGCCCTGGCCTCTCCACTGTTCCTCCACGTTTCAGCCAGAGTGGTTTGTTTGGAGCATAAATCTGATCATGACCGCTCCCCTGCTTAAAGGCTGATGAACCAGCAACTCCCATTTCCCTCAGGATTCAACCCTAACTCCTCAGGGTGGCATTCAAGACCTTTCCTCTATCACCAATAAGAATGACCTCCCCTCTGCCATCTCTCACCCTTTCCAGCTGCCTCACTAACCACCTTCGACGATTCAGCTCAGGACCCCCTCCTCCAGGGACCCTGCCTTGCTGTCCCTCGCACTGCTGGGCTCAGTGCCCTTCTCAGGGTCCTCCTTCACAGCACTGGACACACTGCACTGAAATCCATGTTATGCCCCCACCTCACCTCCCCGCCCCACCTCCCACCCCAGGCTGGGAAATGTTTTCAGCACTGGGGACAGTGCCAGGCACCTAGTAGGGGCTTGGGAAATGACAGGGCAGGGCAGAGAGCTGCTGGGAACATCCAGGCCAATCACCTCGTTTTCCAGTTCAGAAAACTGAGACTCAGAGAAGTCACTCAACCACCCAAGGTGACACAGCGGGGGTCAGTGGAGTCAGAATCAGAACCCAGGTCCCCCCAACTGTGGACGGACTGAATTGAGTAGGCACTCCCTGAAGATCCTTGGTAGTGTCCACTGAGGGATGTGTGTGCCGAGTCGTTCCCTTCCTTGACTTCCAGGGAAGCAGAAGCCAGGGCTGGCACAGGCTAAGGCCAGAGATTACCACGGCCTCACGCAGGCCGATCAACTTCCCTCTCGCTCCCTTACATAAAACTGTTGCTGACCGTTACCCCGACTACTGAGCCAAATAATATTCTGGCCGCGGTCATGTTATCAAACTGAAACCCAGTCTGCCTGGGGCTTGCCAAGTACCTTTCATGGCCAGTTTGTACTTAAAGGAGAGGGAAATGTAGATGTATCAGACGACTCAAGCAGTTCAGTTTGGCAGCAGGCGGAGAGGCTAGACGCAAAGGAGCAGGGTATGGCTTGTCGGCTCAAAGAATGAGGGAGCGCCTGCCAAATGGGCTCCTAATACAATTGACGTTTCTGGTTTGTACTGCAAATGAATTTCCTCTGCCCTCAGCCCCAGGGACTGGGAGCCAAATCTAGTATTCACCTCAGATCCCCTCTTGCTGCCTGTAAACGCGCAGAAACGTACGGCCCGGAGCATCTTAAACCCAATAGCTTGTACGAGCAGGAATTCTTGGCCTTCCAAACGAGTTCAGACCCTGGCGGAGAGGTCGGAGGCTGTTGTAGGGGAGATGGGTGTTCGCTCTCCCACTGCCACAAGAGCATATTAACAAGTAAACCCTCCACTTGGTTGGTTCATTGGGAGCCAGGATGATGCTAGGCCTGGTGTCAGAGTTTGGATCCTGGCTCCACCACTTTACTAGCGGGGAGGCTTGGGCAAGTTATTTAACTCGCTAAGCTTCAGTTTCCTCAGACACAACATGCGGGTGGGGTCCATGAAAGCAGTGTATGTCTACGAGTATCCCCTGAAATGGTGCTGCACACCTGTGGCCCCTACCCAGCAGCCCTGGGTGTGGTGCAAGTGAACCAGACCACCTGTGAGGTCACGTCTAGTGAGGATGATTCCCGATGCTCCAAGTGGGCTCTTACAGGAGCTAAACACAAAGGCAATGGCTGCAAAGTTACCCCAGAAAGTCAGAGACGGAGCGTCCAGCATGCGTGAGGCCAGGGTGTGTGGGGGGTGGGAGGGGGAGATCAGTGGAACCACAGGGAGACCTGACCTCTCGCTCAATAAATCTGTAGACGATATGGATCCTCTAGACCAGCGCTGCCTGGTCACACTGTGATGGTGAACGCTCATAGCCGCGCTGGGCAGTATGGTGGCCACTAGCCACGTGTGGCTGTGGAGCACTGAAATGTGACTGAGCAACGAAATATGACGTCGTATATAGTGTTAAATGTAAACAGCCCACACTTGTGTAGTGGCTACCCTATTGGACCGTTTGTTCTAGAATGAATCTTTGTAAACCAAGACAAAGAACCTTCCTAATAACAGCTTTCTCATTGTTAAGTGTTTCCTGGATGCCAAACCAGTGTTGCAGGATTTCTCTTATTTTGACAACTCACTCTAAACCTTTGAAAAAGACACTAGATGCCCATTGGCCAGATGAGGAAGGAAGGTTCAGGAGGCTCGGTGCTTGCCCACGGCTGCGAGAGGCGGTGGTGTTGACCGATGCTCGGCCCAGAGGTTGCCAGGGCAGTCAGGTAGCAAAGGCAGGGTCCATGGGTTCGTGCCCAGGGGACTGGCGAGAAGCCTGATCGTCTCAGCACTAATCCCGAGCAGGTGCTCCTGAGCTGTCCGAGGTGAGGATTCAGGCTCAGTTCTTGTTTGTAGGTCATTCGGGGAGTGGGCCATCTCGGGGTGGGGACGGGGTCTCTGGGAGGTGCAGGGGAGGAAAAGCCTGAAGGGATTTTGTGTACAAAGTTATTACTTAATGGTGGGTTTCGGCAACTCAGCAGGGGCAAGAGAGGGAGCGTGGGAGTGGGATCCACATGCCCTCGGTTCCTCCCGTGGGTCACAGGGGGGCTGTAGAAGCCTTTCTGCCACCAGTGGCGTGCCGCTGCCTTGACAGGTTCTGCTGTGGACACAGCAGAGCTCTCGGGTACAGTGCCCCCGCAGGCAGGGGCCACGTCCAGTCTCAGGGTCGTCCAGTGCTTGCCCGCGCACCCGGGCTTCCTGGAGGAAGTCGGAAACATCACCCATGTGATGTGAGCAGTGGGCGGGATCTCAGAGTTTCTCCCATTCCATCCACTTATTCTATCAATGGCACCACTGGAGCCCAGAGAGCAGAAGGGACTTAGGCAAGTCACCCAGCAGGTTATCGGCTGAATCAGGTCTTAAAGCCTCAGATCTCTTACCTAACCAAGTCATCACACAAGCCACGTTTTCCTGCCCAGGCTGCACCTCGCTTGCAGGAAGTGAATACACGTGACTGGGAACAGAGACCAGTAATTAACAGCAGCTGCAATTTATTGAGCATCTGCTCCACACCGGTTGCTGGGCTAATACTTGCAGTGGTTCTCAACCTTGGCTGCACATTAGAATCACCTGGGAATCTTTTTAAAATCCTGATTTCTGGGCCTCATCCTGAAATTCTTCTGTTTCTTTGTTATGGGGTGGGGCCACAACATTAGTAACAAAGAAACAGAATTTCCGGAGGATGAGGCCCAGAAATCAGGATTTTAAAAAGATTCCCAGGTGATTCTAATGTGCAGCCAAGGTTGAGAACCACTGGCTTAGAGAGACGACTGCATTTAAGCCCCATGACATCTGGCATTGCTGTCCCATTTCACAGACCAGGGACCTGGGGTTCAGTGAGGTCAGGTGCTTTGCCCGACTTTATACAACCTGGATGTGATAGAACTGGGGTTCCTGTGGGCAGCACAGGCTGCCTCCAGAGCTTAACTATTTTAATCCTGCACTGCACTTCCTGGTTCCTCCTTGCCCTGATGCAGCCACATTTCTCTCTGCAATTATTTTATTTGTATTTCTAATAAATAGAAGAAGTTTAATTCTCCATCTCCCTCCCCTCCCTTTCCTCTCCCCTCCACGCTGGTAAATTCACAGACACTTACAGTCAAGAGACCTGGCCCCAGCATTGGCATCTACAGGACTGGCCACATCACTTCTCCATTCTTGCTGCTGGCATTTCTAAAACATGGGTGATGGTTGGTTGATTCTGAAGTACCCTTAGAGACAGTATAGCAGAGTGGTTAAGAGTCTTAGCTAACTCTTAGCCTGAATTGTGTGCCAAGCTCTAAAAGCTTCACTTAGGCTGCCCAGCCGGCATGGCTCAGTGGTTGTGTCGACCTATGAACCAGGAGGTCACAGTTCAATTCCTGGTCAGGGGCACATGCCCGGGTTGAGGATTCCATCCCCAGTGTGTGGCGTACAGGAA